TCATCAGCTTCCTCCTTGTGTCAGTATGTGCAGAGCTTTTGTCTCAAGTGTTTGTGACGCACTCAACTATTTCTGTGAAAAAACAAAATCACTGTTCTCATCCTTCTGGTTAGTTTACAGTTTACCTATGAATAATACTCCTAAAAATAATAAAAAAGAAGTAGGTCAACAAGTTTGAATAGAGGAGAAATAACATTTATTACTCATATATGTCAGGTACTATGGCAAGCTAATTTCAGAGTGATGAAGTAAATGTACCTGTCCACACAAAATTGAAGAAAATAGAGATTCTAGATCATTGATGACCTATGGCTTTTATCAGCAAGCATCACACTAATTTGTTGACAGTAGTTGAGTATTTGCTGTGTTGGGTCTGGGGGAATGGGGAAATAAGTGCAACACCAGGCCAGACCTTATAGGAAACATACAGTATACTAAGAAAATCAGACAACACAAGTAAATGAAGGGTACTAACATGTGCATACTGTGCTGTTCAGTATATTAACCCATTGATCGTGACAGCAAACCTGCAAAGTAGTTGGAACCTATGTCACATAGACGAGGAAATTGTGATTTAGAGAAAGCAACTTAGTCATGGTTTCCCCATAGTAAATAGCAGAGTTCAACTCTGCAAAGCCTCATTCTTTCATGGGAATTCAAACAATAAATTCTTTCTGACTAAGGAAATGGGGGAAGAACTGCACTTGGTGTGTTCTACCTGTATACTTAAGAATCAGTAGGATTGAGAAGGACAGAAGTCCATGCAGTGCTGGTGGCAGAAGTAAAGGTACAGAAGGACAAAGATAGGGGGAACGACCCTAGGCCTTTTTCACCAAAGCTTGTAAGGTGTGGAACCCACCAGGAGGGATACATGCACTCCAGGAAGATCGTGTCATGCCTCAGCTTTAACTTGGGGTGATGATTCCTTGAAGGATTGAGTTGAAGATACACCTGTGTTAAAAAATGACCAAAGCATGATAAAGTTGGATGTTGCAGGGGAGAGGGAAGGAGGGATCAATGTGAATGAAAACTGACTGAACAATCACTGAGTTGTGCTGTGAGGACATTGAAGGAATCCGTTAGAACACAGATTGGAACTCCAAGTAATGTAGGCTTTCCCTTGCCTGTGAACTAACTGTGTAGTGCCAGTGATTAATTACTATGGGATACATTCTATAATTGCTATGTTTTAATATAAAGCTATGCCTCAGTATTCTGGTATCTCTTTAATTTGTTTAAACAAAGAGAGAAAATATGACCTGTGTTATCAAATACAGATACACATACACACACACACACAAAGACAAGAAAATGTGACTGGCTTCATTATTTTCCAAGTTTTTATTAAAGAACATTAACTTCTATAATCAGAAAAATCACATTTAAAAAATAGGAATAGCCTAAATGTTTACTTGATGGACTTTATAAATTCCTTCAGAATACGTAAATGAAACATTGTGTAGAGACTTCATTATATGGTCTACCAAAGCTATTTTCTACTGACTTTTCTCAAAACTTTATTTTTTAATTTTCTGTTTATGTAAAATAAATTTAAAAATCAACTTATAGGCTGGGGTTGTAGCTCCATAGTAGAGCACATCCCTTTGGATTTGATCCCCACCACTACAAAAGTAAATAAATAAATAAATTTACAGTATTTGGCATATATATTTAGCTCTTTAAAGATTTATATTTTCAGTCAGTAGCAATATTTTACTTTCTTGCATGTCTATTATGTTGATAGTAAACTTTTAAAAGAATTAATCAAGGAAAAAGGGCAAATTTCATTTGGTGCATAAAATACTTGAATATTTTATTGATCAAATTGAGTCATCTTGTATGTTATGCTGGCATTACATTTTCCTCTTATTTATTTTTAATTAATAAATATAAATTACATGTATTTATTGTGGCAACATGATGCTTTAAAATACATATGCATATAAAGGAAATGCAAATTAAAACCACACTAAGATTCCACCTCACCCCTGTTAGAATAGCCATCATTAGCAACACCACCAACAACAGGTGTTGTTGAGGATGTGGGAAAAAGGAACCCTCTTACGGTGTTGGTGGGAATGTAAACTAGTACAACCACTCTGGAAAAAAATTTGGAAGTTACTTAAAAAGCTAAACAGTGATCTACCATTTGATCCAGCAATACCACTCTTGGGGATATACCCAAAAGACTGTGACACAGGTTACTCCAGAGGCACCTGCACACCCATGTTTATTGCGGCACTATTCACAATAGCCAAGTTATGGAAACACTACTTGCAAATGGATCAAGAAAATGTGGTATCTATACACAATGGAATTTTATGCAGCCATGAAGAAGAACAAAATGTTATCATTCGCTGGTAAATGGATGGAATTGGAGAACATCATTCTGAGTGAGGTTAGCCTGGCCCAAAAGACCAAAAATCGTATGTTCTCCCTCATATGCAGACATTAGATCAAGGGCAAACACAACAATGGAATTGGACTTTGAGCACATGATAAAAACAAGAGCACACAAGGGAGGTGTGAGGATAGGTAAGACACCTAAAAAATTAGCTAGCATTTGTTGCCCTCAATACAGAGAAATTTTTTTAACCTTAAAAGCAACTGAGACCAATAGGAGAAGGGGACCAGGAACTAGAGAAAAGGTGAGATCAAAAAGAATTAACCTAGAAAGGTAACACACATGCACAGGAAATTAATGTGAGTCAACTCCCTGTATAGCTATCCTTATCTCAACTAGCAAAAACCCTTGTTCCTTCCTATTATTGCTTATACTCTCTCTTCAACAAAATTAGAGATAAGAGCAAAACAGTTTCTGCCGGGTATCAAGGGGGTGGGGGGGAGAGGGAGGGGGTGGAGTGGGTGGTAAGGGAGGGGATGGGGGCAGGGGGGAGAAATGACCTAAGCCTTGTATGCACATATGAATAATAAAAAAATTAAAAATTAAAAAATAATATGCATTGTGGCCTGGCTAACTTGAGTAATTAACTATGTATTATCTCATATACTTATCATTTTTTGTGGTGAGAACACATTAGGTCTATTTTCAAGCATATAAAACACTGGTATTCCTATAGTCATGGTGATGTACAGCTGATCTCCTGAACTTACTCATCCTGTTTAACTGAATTTTTTTGTCCTTTGAACAACATCTTCCCAAAACCCCACACTCACCCAAGTAACCACCATTACTTGCTACTTCTGTGAGTGCAACTCTTTCAGATTCTATGTATAAGTAAGATTATGTAGTGTTTGTCTTTCTGTGCTTGGCTTATTTCACTTATCACATCCTCCAGTGTCATCCAGCTGGCATTATACTTTAATGACAGTTCAGTCAACCCCAATATAGTATGTACTTTGCACTTGGGCTTTTACCCATGTTGCTTCTATAAATTTTTACTTTACTTTAAAGGAAGATTTTAATTTTAAGAGGAAAAATGTATCAGAAAACTTGCTTCCCCTTGATACTCTCTGACTTTAAAAACTAGCAAAAACACTATGTCTTTCTTATTATCTCCTATGTTTTTTCAACATAGGAGAGAAGAAGAGGGCAGAACAGGTTCTGCCCAGAAGTGGGGGCATGTAGGGGGGTGGGAAGAGAGGAGAGGTGGCCCAAACAATGAATACACATGTAAGTAAATGTAAAAATGATAAAATTAAAAAAAACGAGTGACATTAAAAAAAAATGAAGGGCTGGGCATGATGGCACATACCTGTAATCCTAGGTACTGAGGAGATCAGGAGGATTACAATTTGAGACCAGCTCCAACAAAAAGCTAGCCAGACCCATAACCAATAAGCCAGGTGTGATAGTACATGTCTGTAATCCCAGTTACATGGGAGGCATAAGTAGGAGGATCATGGTCCAGACTGGCCTGCTCAAAAATATAAGACCCTATCTGAAAAATAACTAAAGCAAAAAGGCTGGGGGCATGGCTCAAGTGGTAGAGTGCCTGCCTAGTTAGCACACAATGCCCTGAGTTCAAACCCCATTACCACCAAAAAAAAAAAAAGGCAGTTTTAAGAACTGACTTGTTTGAATTTTAGTTTTGAGTACATTTTTATTGTGGTTATAAAAATCTTTAAAGGCAACTTTAAGATGAAAATTATCGCAGACTGATGGAACTTGAGGACATCATGGTAAACAAAGTAAGCCAGGCACAGAAAGACAAGCACCTCATGCTTTTGGTCACCTGTAAAAAACAACCAAGCAAAAAAACAGGTGACTTGAAAGTAGAAGAGGGACTGGGAAGGAGCCAGGGGGAAGGAGGAGGGGGAGGACAGACATCGGCAGAAGAAGGGTGGGCAGACAATCTATGCATACTGTATCTCAGTGACTCCCATTACTTTATATAATTAATATGTGTTAATAATTATAACAAATGAATTAGTAGAAAAATGAATAATATTTGTGTATGTATTAGATAAAAAATTTAAAATAAGTTTATAAATTTTCCATATACTTACAAATGTCATGTACTGGTTCTATCATTTACAGAAAGAATCTTCCCACCATGATTGTGGGTGGTTAGTTTTCCTTGTAATTCTGTGCTTTTAACAATACATTGTGTTTACCTTTAATATATCTACAGAAATGTGTAATTCTATGATTTTGTACATGATAGAAAATATCTGTGTTAACCAGTGCACATTGTAGTCAAGAAATGAACACTGTCAACACCCATCAACCATTCCTCAGTGGTTCCTCTCAGTCTAGAATTTCTGACACTATAATATAAGCTCTCTATAAATTCAAGCTTTTGTAAATAGCTTTCTGAGATAAACTTAATGGTTATTAGTAAATTTTAAAAAATGAAGAAAGCTCTATGATAGAGCAAATTACTTTTAAGTCGAATGCAAGTATTTCTCGGCTCACAGTGTTAACTTGTTTTAACTTGAGCCAATACAAAATAAAATTAGAATTTGGACTTCATTTTAAAATCTTTGTTCATATTATGATATACAGACTGAATAGAATTTTTTTTCTTACTACTTAGGAAATACCAGAAAGGCACCAAGGTCCGGCTGCGGCTCTTAGATCTTGAGCTCACATCTAGGTTCCTGGGAGCAACCACAGATACAACTATACTGGAGGCTGATGCGGTCCTCTTAGGACTCCAGGAGAACAGAGACTCAAAGTCAAAAAAGGAGCATCCTGAGAAGTAAATGAACTTGCATATTGTTGAACTCAGATAATCATCAGGAATGTAATTAGAAAATTGTGAATAAATGATTGAAAGAAGGTGTAATAAATGAAAACTGATTATAGCTCTTACTTGTTAGAATTTTCTTTAGCTGCCTCTCCCCCGCCCTTTTTCTATCACTTTTTTTTCTTTGATTGAAATAGTGTAAACTGTACTGAGAAATTCTGTCATTCAGTGACTATAGTTTGAGTGATGTGTGTGCATAGCACTAGTCTAACCAGCAGTAAACAGATTAGAAAAAATAACTTGCCTTGTGGTGCTTAACAATCACCCAGAGAGTGGACAATAAATAAGTAAATGAAATGTAGAGTGTGTCAGACAATGACACATGCTAAGAAGAAAAATAAAGCAAAAGAAAAGGCAGGGAAAAAGTTACAAAGTATCTGAGTGACAGATTGAATTTTAGATGTGGTGTCAGTTTTATGCCTCCAGAGGAAGTCACTTTGGAATAATATCTGAAAGAGAGGAAGAAGCTAACCACAGGAGTTCCTGGGAAATAATTCCAGCAGAGGCAGTGGCTAGCGTAAATGGTCTGAGACAGGCCAGTGTCTCTCAAGTTCAAGGAGCAGGGAGAAGCCATTGTAGCTGAGTGTAAGAGGAGTAGAACACAACTCAGAGGTGAGGGAGGAGGCCACATGGGTCCTCTAGCATTTGTTTACTCTGATTGAGATGGAGGGATACTGGAGGATTCTGAGCAGAGGGAGGATAAAATCTGACTGACATTTTAGCAGGATCCCTTGAGCAGGCTGGCTGAGTAGACTGAAGATGAGCAAGAGCAGCTGCATTGAGACCTGTAAGGATAGTCACATAATCCAGGCGAGAGAAGAGAGCCATTTGGACCAGGGTAATACCAGTGAGGGTGGAGAGAAGTGGTTGAAATCTGGATCTTCTTTGAAGGTGGAACAAATGGGGATTTCCTGAATACTAGATACATAGTACGAGAGAGGAAATGAGAGAGAGGTGACACCAGGGGTTTTGGTCTGTGCAACTGATAAAAGGAAGAGCAGATTTGAGAGGAATATCCAGAACTCAGCTTTGGACATTTTGAAATGCTGTAAGTTAGACATGTAAGTGGAGATATTCCGATGGCAGTTGGTATATGGGCCTGGAGTTCATTGGAGAGGCCCAGATGAAAGATAAAGATAAAGACTTGCAAATCATAGACATTTTATCATGTGCTACAAATTATGTTGGTGAAGAATTGAGACAGGGTTCAACTTGTTTTTTGTCTTAGTTTTTTGTTTTGTTTTTTTTCTCATTGCATCAAGTGAAATCACTAGGTACCTAACTGGCTAGTGTAAGGTCCAAGAAAGTTTCCAGGAGACTTTCATACGTCTGGCATTTTGTCAGGGAAGCTGGAAGATGGAGTTCAGCTGGGACTTCATGTCAGTTAAAGCGCATCATGTCTCTCTAGTGCAGTAATCTTAGAGCAGTTAGAATGCATTCCTCCAATAGTGTCAGGGAAGCAATGGCCTTTTCTGATCTAATCTGGGACTTCACATAGCTTTACTTCCACCCAGCTGGTTGTAAACAAATTGAAAGGCCAGCCCATAATCAAGGAGAGGGAAATAATACTCCACCTACTAATGGAGGTGTTGCATTGTCACAGTGTCAAAAGCCAGATGAGATGACAGATATTATGGGCATCTTAGGAAAATAACCTGCCATACCACTCCTTCCCAAGATCACAAACCGAAATTTCAAGTCTTTTACTCACCATCATTTCTGCTCCCTTAATTTTTGTGGACCCCATTGAACTCTTTTTCAACATTCTTTGAAACTTCAATCCATGGCCCCCAGTTTTTTCCTCATTATCTCATTCATGTTCTCACTGCCCTGCTTACCCAGCTTACCCAGAAGCATCATTACTTTTACCCCCTTGCAAATAAATACCCATAAATCCTGTCTCCTCATCCCTTCCATTTCTTACCTGGGAAAACTAGCCCCATTTAAATCTACCTATTTCATGCCTGTACCTGAACAGCACAATACTACAGGCAAAAAGTCTCACAACCATACTGATTGCTTTTATTTTAAATCTGGAATTCTAAGATACAGTGTCAGATCAATATACACATCTAATACCACTTTAAAATCTCACTAAAATCACAAGAGAGGGAGATGGATGGATGAATACCCATGCTGACAAAAATCTCAAGTATTAGAAAACAGGAAAAGAGACAGCAGCAACAAAATTTTGCAATCTGGAAAGTAAATGGATGAATAGAAATTGATTTAGCAGAACAGAGATAGACACAGTCTGAGCTAGCAGTGAGGAAAGCTGAAAACCAACCTGGCTCTACAGTATCCTCAGAATGTTCTAGATCTGGGAGTGAAATGGGGGTGCGGGAGGTCCAAAGTAAACAGGATTGGGTAAAAGCTGAGAAATAAGATCATAGTCTCCTTCCCTCACTCTACTCCAATAGCTGGGCTGCTCCCTCCCCCTTCACCTGAAGTGACTGGTTCTCTCTGACCCTAACATAAGTTTAGCAGTTTAGTATTTGGACTCTAGATGTTTGCTATCTGCCTTCCTCTGTTGAAAGAATGAGGAGGTAAAAGAAAAGCAAATGCATATACACAAATGCACTAACCCAGCTGTTTCACTGCTCTGTAGACTGGAAACCATGTGGAACATACATTAAGTAACGGTCCTGATTATGGAGGAGTGGTGATGAGGAAATATGCCCTCCGGTATTTCAGATCCTGCAACAAGGTCCTATAGCCCTATTTTCAAAAGTTCACTACCAGAAAATTCTTTCCCATCTCTTAGGACAACAGTCTAAAGGCCAGTTTGTAATCTAAACTCTTTCCCAGGTGTGCTGGGTTGAATAGTGTCCCCCCAAAATCATGTCCAAATGGAGCTTGTGATTATGAACCTATCTGGAATAGGGACTTTCCAGTGTAGTCAAGTTTAAGGTGAGGTCATGCTGGATTGAGGTGGGTCCTAAAGGCAGTATCCTCACTCAGTGAGGTCAATTTGGACACAGAGACACAGACACACAGAGAATGCCAAGAGAAAAACTCTGCCATCAATGAAATTCCATCTCTTTGAATTGTAGTTATGCTGCCACAAACCAAGGAGTGCCGGAGAGTGCAAATAACCACCAGAAGGTAGGAGAGGGGCAGGGAACAGATTCTACCTCCTAGTCCCCAAGAAGGATTCAACATGCTGACACCTTGATTTCAGACTCCTGGCCCTTGAACTGTGAGAGAATAGATTTTTGTTATTCTAAGCCACCCAATTTATGGTAATATGTTAGGGCATTTGCCAGGCTCAGATAAGAGACAGGGTGGTTACTCAGGGATTGATTTCCAAATATCACCCAGCACTTTGGCTCCATGACTCCCATTTGCGGATTCTATTGTATCTCTGTTTCCTATGCTTCTTTTGTGGTTCACTTCTTTATTTTGGTACAGCATGTCCTACATTTGCAACCTCGATGAAAACATCCATGGGAACCTAGAAAAATTAGTGTCTCAAGCCCCAATCATCTAATTCAAGTCAGCTAGATGGAGATATCCTAAAGAGCCAAATTTCAGGGAACAATCTTCGTTTCTTTAATATTTTTTAAGTAAGGCAACTAATTAAGTCAATATTTTTTTGGAAGTCAATTCATCATGCCAAACAAAATCTGTCTCACAATGTTTTTATGTCAGCTCAGGCCTTCCAGGAAGCAGCACTAAGACATAATAGAGCACACAATCCTGCAGGGAATTAGTATGTGAAAGTAGCAATGGTTCTGGAATTGGCAGTCTGCAGCAAAGAAATTGTTATAGGATGTGAGAAAAGTAATGACTGTTATATAGTAGTAAAACATTTGGTAAAACTGTCACCTGAGATAACTTGGAAGACAAAAAATGTACCTACATAACAGAGATTTGGGCAAGAAGTTTTGAGGCAGACTGCTGAAAGCATAAACTGTGTTTAATAAGGTATTACAAGAAATATACAAACTCAGGGAAGAGTCAGTGGGCATTAAAATATGGTTAAAGCAGAAGTAGAACCCACAATGCTGGGCCTTGGAATAAAGATCAAATCTAGAATGGAGCCAGAACACCTGAGTTAAGGTTTCTGGGGCCTGGTGTGGTTGAACACACCTGTTATCTCAGCTATGTGGGAGGTGGGGAATTGTGGTTCAAGGCCAGCCAGGGCAAAAAAGTTACCAAGACTCCTATCTCAAAAAACAAGTCACGCGTGGTGGTATGTGCCTGGAACCCCAGCTATGTGGGAGGCAGAGGTAGGAGAATCATAAGTCCGAGGCCCACCTCAGGCAGACATATGAGACCCTATCTGAAAAATAAACTGTAAACAAAAAGAGCTTGGGGTATGGGTGTGTGGCTGAAGTGGTGCAATGTTTGTGTAGCAACTTCAAGACTGTGAGTTCAAACACACACACAGTGTAAAATTTCTGAAAGGACCAAGATTTGTCCAGCTAGTAGATTCTTCTAGATGGACAAAGAATTCCCAGAAATCTTATGAACAAAGTCCTACTGAAGCCTGACTCTGCCCAAATTAGAGGTAATTAGTCCAGACAGATAAAGGCTTATCTCAAAAAGAACTATGGATGTGCCTTTTGGCAGTGTTGGAGATCAAACCCAGGGAATTGTGTGCTCTACCACTGATCTACATCCCCAGCTGGCTGTGCCTTTGGGCATATGAAGTTTATTTAAGTAAAGAAAATAGAAAGTCTACATTTTTGAGAGGTATACATTGATTTTAAAAAATGCTTCTGTTCTAAATTAAAAGGGATTGAGATGGTTCAAGATGCAAAAAAACCTCACAGGTCTCAACTTTATACAGGCAAGAAGGGGTCTAGAAAACATTGTTTACTCTCCCTCAGGAGGCTGAGGCAGGAAAATTGTGAGTTGAAGGCTGGCCTGAGCTACGTAGCGAGACCTTGTCTCCTTTTTTTGTTTATCTGACAAGGCCATATTCTCAATGTTTTCTTCACAAGGCAACACAGGGTATAATGAAAAGGAAGAGTCCTCTGAGAAAACAGAGCCAAGAACAATGGAGGAAAATA